AATTTTTCCTTTGTCCTAATCCACGTGACTGTGCATATGACTGTTATATAAAGGAGGGGAGGGAGGATGGGAGGGGAGGGGAGGGGACAAGTCCTTTTCCTTTGTGATTAAAGAAAATTCTAGTCGTCCTTTCAGGCGTCAAGTATTATGTGAGTAGCGTATTACGTCATCATTGTTAAAGTTTAATTTTTTTCACTTTCACACCTCGCCGCCCGCCTTTACACAGTCTCACTGCCCGGAGCGCTGATGTAATAACTGCGTATTGTCTTAATCCCTAACCTTAACCCTGTCATGCTGGACATCACTGGACACTCATGGTTCTCAGCAATGTAATGGTGTTGTGTTGTTGTGTCTGTGTGTGTGTGTGTGGGGGGGGGGTGTTAGTTTTTAGTTAAATTTTCCCACCAGATGGGAGGGGAGGGGACTAATCCTTTTCCCTTGAGCATTTAAAAAAATCTCTCCCTCCTTTCAGGCTTCAACTATTCTGTGAGTAGCGTCAGATGTAACAACGGTGTGTCCTCTTAATCCTTAACCGTAACCATATCAGGCCGGATATCACTGGACACTCATGGCTCTCAGCATTATAATGTTGTTGTTGTGTGTGTGTGGGGGTGGGGGTGTAGGGGGGAGGTGTTTGTTTTTAGTTAACTTTTAACGGCCTCCACAACAAAATATGGTCATATAATATATGCCGAAGATTTCAAGTGTTGCATCAGGTGAGGTCGACGTCTCACGGCAATTACGTCACAGTGTGTACCTGTGGAAAATAAGAATGATCGTTTCGCCGCTGATTGAATTTGATTACAACTTGATTTAATTTAGTACGTTATGAAAAGGAGGGGAGGAGGGAGTTTGGGAGGGGAGGGGATTAGTGTCGTTTTCCTTTGTGCATTAAAAAAGTTTCTACCTCTCCGTACAGGCATCAAGTATTATGTGAGTAGCGAATTGCGTCATCATTGTTAAAGTTTGATTGTTACACTTTCACACCTCGCCCCACGTCTCTACACACAGTCTCACTGCCCGGAGCGCTGATGTAGGAACGGCGTGTCGTCTTAATCCTTAACTTAACCCTATCGGGACAGATATCACTGGACACTCATGGTTCTCAGTGATGTAATGTTGTTGTTGTGTGTGTCTGTGTGTGTTGGGGGGCGGGGGTGTTTGTTTTTAGTTAAATTTTAACAGCTCCCACAACAAAACGTGGTCATATATGCCGAAGATTTCAGGTGGGAGGGGAGGGGACTAATCCTTTTCCCTAGTGCATTTAAAAAATGCTACCCCTCCTTTCAGGCCTCAACTATTATGTAAGTAGCGTCAGATGTAAGAACGGAGTATCGTCTTAAACATTAACCCGGTCGACCGGACATCAAC